TTACTTACGGTGCCTACTGTTCGCTTGACTCAACTATCTATCTCTTCACTCTATCTATCTCTGCCATTTATCTGCATATATATCTCTCGCTGGCTTTATTTGCCGGGCTTATATACTAAAAAAGAGGGCGCCTGGCAAACACTAGGACATTTGCGAGGTTCTTCGATAATTCATGGCCTTTGAGAAACTCCAGTGCGCATGCTCCTAGTGTTGCGTGACTTCCGCTGTCGTAACACTGCCCCTTCCTTAGTATTGTTCGTCCCGAACAATAGCCACTTACATTAAACCAATAGATAATTAACAATAACTTAATTAAATGTACAGAATTTACAAACACAAAATTAAAATACAACAAAGTCTCTTAATTTTACAGGATGTATCTTCTTCCATACTGGTCTCCGTCTCATTGGCTTCTGCTTCATGTGGGGTTCATCTGCTTCATCAGTAAATGTCCTATCATCGGTAAGAGTCACATCAGTGGTAGTAACTTCATTAATGGCTTCACTGTTTTCCTTCTCAAAACTGAGTAGAGTTTCTTCTTTGACACTGGCTTTTTCAGGTGATATGTCTTTAGCAGCATCATTTGTTCTGTTGTTCACTTCATTCCAACTGAAATGTCCTGGACCATGATAATGCCAAAGCCTGTTGGCATGCACCATCTTTGGCTTACCTCGCCGACCACATTTTATTCGAAAAGTCATGTCTTAGAGACGATCCACTATGTCATATGGGCCTTGCTGGGATTATACAACCACACTTTGTCTCCTGGTACAAAGCTGACTTCAGTAGATTTCTTACCATAACATAGCTTCATGGAATCAAGCAGACGTTTTCAAGTTTGAATGCACTTGATGATGAATATCATCCATCCTGTCAGATAACACTTTCACGAACTCCAGCACATTTTCAGGCAACTCTTCGTAAGGTGGGCATCCTGTTATCAGGTCCACTGGCAACCAAAGTTCCCAACCAAACATCAGCTTTGCTGGAGTGTATCCAATGGCTTCATGCTCTGCTGTTCTATAGGCCATCAGCAGTGGAGGGAGTAAGACATCCCAGTCATCTTGGCGGCTATTACAAAACTTTGCCAATTCCTGTCCTAGTCCTCTGCTTTAATATCTATACCTGGTTCCACTTCACCATCATCAACTCCTTCAGTCACTTTGACTTCAGCTTGATGGCACCTAGTTAGTTCAACGTCTCTTTTAACACTTACCGGAATTTGGCCTTTGTTGTTCCCAAACATCATTTTATCAAAGTTAACTACACACTTTCTCAGTAGTAAGTAGTCCAACCCTAATATGCATGGGTCTTCAATGTCAGCCAAGTATACTTTGTGTCTGTCCTTTGTGCCCATGAGCTCAATAGTTACCCACACTGGTTCCCACAACCTTGTGTAATGTCCTATCACACCACAGAGCTTCTGTATGGCTTCTGGTACTCCTTTGTGATCCAGCACCTTGATACTCACAAGGGTCTGCTGAGATGCAAAATCTATGACAAAGTTGCACTTTTGGCCATCCAGCTTTCCTGTCACGTAGACACTGTGTGTGCTTGCCATTTTACACTTAGCCATTCGGACTTTCATGATGGGGGTTGTGGGTGTCCCTCATCACCAA